CTGTGTTTAATAACATTCCTCCTGGGGATATAACTACGTCTTGTTCGGTGATGTCTACTTGATTTAAATATCCCAGTATACTAACTACAAGCTAGCAACCTAATGCCAGTGAACACAGAGGTGGCAAGAGACAGGAAGGAAGCTTCTCTGACCCACCTCAAGCACACCTACATTCCATCGTAGAAATCTGTGTCTCTCCCAGCTGTATCACTGGAGGTGTGCTGGCCACCTTCATACTGTCAGCTCCCATACCTCTTTCCTGAGGGATCTGAACTCAAATCCCTCTGAGCTCAAGCTGCCTGAACAGGAAAGGATGAAAGCACAGACAGCTAACTCTTAAATTCTTATTCCCCTGCTGCTCTCCACCAGTGATGGGAAGGGGTATGTATATAACTTGGGTAGCTTTCTCATTCTGTGATGGGGATAACTCGGAGGCCCATCTCCTGCACTGGCTACCAGAGTTTCCCAGCTGGAATCAACCCAAATTATTAAAAGAGGAAATTTGCTGCTCACTCACACATTTGGGATTCTTTTGCATTCCCTGCCTCATTTCCCCATTCCTCTACTGTTCTTTTGCCTCCAAACTAAGCTTACATTCATTTCTTTGTCTCTAGGTCAGTTCCTAGGGGAATGCAAACTAAGCCCACAAAGAAAGAGCATGGACAGTTCTACTGCAAGACTGGTGGACCAAGCTGGAGCCAGAAACTCAATTCAGATCCCCAACCAGGGGTGGTAGGAACCAACTTCTTGAATCGTCACTCCTGTCTCTAAGAGTATGCATTTACAGGAAACTGGATTCAGAGGCACAGGCACGCGCATCTACTTGATAAAGCTAACTACAGTACTTTCTAGTAGTCCTTGAAATGCATAATTTTGCTCTAATAAAACGATCTTTTGTGTGCTTGAAACAAAAACACCCTCAATAAAGACAATATCAAACACGTCCCCTGAATTCCTACAGGCACCGGAACACCCACTTTCAGATACAACACACTTTCAGATACAACCACCCCACAATTCTCACACGGCCAAATAAACAAGAAAATCGACATGCTCTAATGCACACACTGACCCCCAAACCGTGCACATGCCCTTATCGGTGTGCAGTAAGTGGCACTGACCTAACAGGTGAGCAGCACAGAAGTCACAAACCATACAATGTACAACCTCCTTTATTGTTAATTTCATGCACACAAGGTGTAGGCAAGGCATCCGTGATTTGACACCGGACTGGGAACTACAGTTACTATTCAACTGAGGCAGGCTGCTCACATCACTGACGCCTCTCCGTACTGAACCTAAGTGCTCCACTTCTCCTCAGCTGCACCACGTGCACAGGTCACACAGGACGCACCTGAGGACAGCACGCACTGGCAGCAGCCCGCGCTACCTGCTGGACTGCATCAGGGTCTTCCGTCCCGAGGAAGCGTCCCCAGCCTCAGCCTTGCTCAGAGTGCTAGCGACACCGGCGGGACACACTCAGGGTCCTCTGCGGTATTAAAGCCCCCTCACGTCAGGTTCAGGCACCGTCAGAACACGGGGAGCGCCCTGCCAGGACCGGCACCAAATTCTGCGGTATAGCCGCTCGCTCGCTCTGCAGCCAGCTGGCCACTCGGGCAGCTGGGCCGCACAGACCAAGGGTGAGCCCACCACACAGCGGGAACGATCACAAAGTGCAAAAACCACTCGGCAAGACTGGGGCTGGGGGGTCCATTACCTTCTAAGTAACGGACTCTCGGAGCGCCGCCATGGCCGCGATTCCGTGGGCATGCGCTCTCCTCGCGCCTGCGCATCACCTGGGTTGGACGCCCGCAACGGATGCTGGGAGACGTTGGAGGGCAACTGGAGCACGCCGGGAACCTGGCGCGCCCAGAGAGGGCGTGCGCATGCGTGCGGAGCGCGCCCCAGAGGTAGGCGTGCAGGGAGGCAGTATGAGGTCTAGAAAGATTTTTGAGGTTTTTCCGCGACCAGACGAGTCCTGGAATCTTTGTGGCCGTCCCTCCATTAACCTAGCGCGTCTGAAACGACCCCTGATGGTTTGGAAGACGGCAGACGTCCACGCAGGCACGCGCACCCCAGGGAAGGACTCTTCCCAGGGCTGCACCCTAGAGCGAGGTCCCCTGCATTGGGGTCAGCGCTTGCAGCCTCTCCGGACTGCAGGTCTCTGAGGCTTGTCCGCGCCTCCCACAAACGCTGCCTCCTCTCTTCCCAGGCCTCCTGGGTTCCATGGAAGAGCAGTCTGGCCAAGAATATTGGACCTGGAAGCACTGAGGGACTCCAGTTCTTAGCTCCGTTCTTAGAGTTTGTCCTCTGGTATTTACTGCACTTGGGGAATTTATAGAATACAGGGAATTTTAAATAAACAGCGATTCGCAAATGCTTTCGTTGAAAATTTCTTACCATCCTAAGATGTGACAATCTGAACCACATAAAGTAAAAAATACCATGTAGTATAGGCGTAATTTTACAACAAAGAAACACTCATTCCTTAAGTTCCTGAGTACAAAACGTGGCCTCATCAACCCTGCAATATGAAGTTATTGCTTGAACACCATGTAGGGGTGCCCACGATAAAAATACAAGTCTTTGAGAAGGCTCTTAAACTTGTTTATTTTTTAAGTCACACCCCTAGGGTTTTGTTTGTTCTGCCAGTCACCCTTACCTTGCTTGAATTGCTCCCACATTATCTTCTGAACATTGGTAGACCTCTTTCCACTGCTTGCATGGAGAATAAAAACATTGTTGAGTGTAAATGGGTGGTTCATGCTACAGAGGACTGAGGCTGCTAGCCCCTGGGTTATTCTCCAGGTGACTTCAATTCCAGGGCTAGGCCAAGCGGGAGCTAGGTGCATGGAACTTCAGTTCTTTTCAGGTCGCACCTGGATTCATGAACCCAACAACTTGAGGCATCATCTGTGGTCTCCCAGGGTGCACATCGGCAGAATTACTCCAGTACAGGAAGGGACATCTTAACTGCTAGACTCAACACCATCTGGAGTACCTGCAATATTTATGAGCTAAAGACCCACTTTTTTCTAAATACCTATCCTACAAACCAAAGAAAGTAACCACAAGTAACACAAATTCATTCAGTCCTTGATGGACAGAGGCGTTCCAACAGAGGGCATCAGAAGTCAGACTTTCCTTGGAAATGCCTTTTCAGCAGTGGACAGGACTTGGGGATGCAGACTGCTTCCCTCAGGATGAAGTGCACACACTGCAACTATCTCTGATCCGCTGGTACCTCGTTTTCAGACACTTGGTCCCCTCTTCTCCCTGAGCAAGCCTGTGCTGATCACATCTTGTGTTCTGAAATTTGATGAGAAAGTGCCTCCCTGAATGTAGCTAGGAGCCTACCTTCCTCCACAGGTGGGAAGCAGGGTGGCCTAGGAACCAAGAGTAGGTATATCGATATGGACAGAAGTTAAGGAGGAACCAAGTACAGTCGGTGTGCGGAATCAGAGACTACTTTAACACTGCCTGAGGAGCTCACATCAGCTGTTTTGCCGCAGTTCAACTTCAAGAGAACTTGAGATTCTGCCCCACTGCAAGAGCCTCAGAATGTCTCCCCACCCCCACCCAGGCTGCTCTCCTGCCACCCCTCCCCCACCAGAGGAGCCTGAGCCCCACATTCCATTCCTGTTACCTTTAAACTTGCCCAGCTGCTGCAGTTGGACCCTGAGCGGCCAGCTCACTGCTGGGTCCTGAACTTGCTTCTCTCATTGAGGAGGCTGTGCTGAGTGTCCAAGCCTGCGGGGAGAGCTTCAGGAGGAGGTAAGTCTGTAGGGGTGGGGCTGTTTAACCAGATTCTTGCTACTACTCAAATACTTGGGAACTCACATGTGACACGTCCCCTGGGGACAGCTGACTGGACTGAGGTAGAAGAGACAGCCCTGGATGTCCACAAGGACATCCTACCTGGGGAGGCTGTGGAAGCCTACATTGAACGGACACTGCTGACTGGGGAGACTACTGACCACGTAAAGGAAAATCAAGAGGCCCCACGGGAAGTGTACTGATGAGTAGAAGATACGGGAGCAAATGGATTCATTCTCTGTAAACCAGGAGAGGGACACAGGTCACTTCAGTCTGAGGGGTGTAGTGTGAGGATGGGCGGGGATGAGGTGGAGGCAGAGAGAGGGTTCAGGGTATAGCTGAGCCTACCCTTTCAGTCACAGGGAGCCTGCCCTTGAAAGGGCTCACAGGGTTTAGACAGGGGTATCCTAGGTATTAGGATGCTGTTTTGAAATGGGCTTAGCCATGAAAATGATCAGTTAGGCTCCTTCCCCTTTACCCACTCTTCCTTGAGTGAGGCTGGAAATTACCCCAACCTCCACCGCCCAGATCCTCCCAGCTCTCTGCTTCCTGCCAGCAGTGGTCTTTCATTCCAGGAAAGTTGTTTTTTCTGGATTCTGCAAGGACAGGAATGGCAATTAACATCAGGCAACAGAGGGCTTGGGTTTCCCCTAAGTGGTGTGCATTGTTCCTCTTGTAGTGGAAACACAAGTCTTTCACCCAAGTCATCCTACATCTCATGGTGGGCCCCTGCCAAGGACTTTCCATAAAGATGATGGCAGTGCACGAACTCCACGTCTGTACTTCACAGACAGGTTCAGCTGGGCAGAGTGGTTGGATTCCACAGGAAGTTTCAGTGAATGCTGTTTTCCACCTTTATTTTTCATAAAGCTTATTTATTTGAGTAGCAGAGTGACACAGGAGGGAGATAGTGAGGGCTTGACAAGCAATGGAAGAGGAAGAGAGGGAGAAGAGAGAGGGAGAGAGGAGAAGGGAGAGACGGAGAGGGAGAGAGAGAGAAAGAAAGGGAGGGAGAGGGGGAGGAAGGGAGAGAGATATTGATATCTTCTATCCCCTGTTACTCCCCAATGTCTGAAATAATCAGAGCTGGGCAAGGTCAAAGCCAGGAACCCAGAACACTGCCCGAGTCTCCAACAAAGGACAGTATTCGTGTACTATGTCTTCATTTTCTGCCTCTCTTCTCACATTAGCAAGAAGCTGGATCAGAAGTACAGTTTGCCAGGGCTAGAACAAGCTCCAATATGTGATGTGGACATGCCAAGTTGCAGCTTAACTCACTGTGCCAAAAAAACCACACCTGTTTTTATATTAAAGAATGGAGAGCAGCAGTTAGGAAGGTTATGTTCAATCTGAAGACACGGGTCCTGATCCTCAGACGCAGGTGCACTGTGCCTGTTGTCATTTACTGGGCTCTGTGTGGTTCCTGGTCAGAGATGTCTTCCAGTACATATTGCCCCCCCAACTCCCTGACTCAAGCCTACTCCTCAAGCCTTCGCTTTCCATCACTGAGAGCATAAAGAACGATCCCAGAGAGTCACCATTCCCTCAACCAATTCTGATCTGACCCTTTAGAAACTACGAAATCCCAGACATCTCCCAGACAGCCCTACCAGTCACCACAATGTGGACTTTCCTACCCTATGCAGCCATCACTGATTGTATAAGGACACCATCTCAAGGGACCAACATCCTCCTAGCAGTCCTGTTCTTGGGGAACACAGCTTCTAGAGTGGCCAGAGGGACCACCAGGCCATGCAACCAGGGGTGGCCAATATACGCTCCCTGTGGTTTCAGCAGGGCCCTCTGAAGAGGAGTACCACCTGCTAGCAGGATGAAGTTAGCCTCAGAGATGACAAGGTTATGCTCATGAATCACAAGGCCATGGTAGGGAGAGGTTTCTTCCCAGACTTTTGACCTTCTTGTGCTAGGGTTTAAGGGAAGGGTTCCACTAAGAAGTGTCAGTTAAAGAAGCCTAAGGTGGGGTCTGTGTTCAGAGTTTGAATCAGCTGGCTTTACCTAGGCCAGGTGGCCACGTGGCACCACAGCTGTATAAGTCCCCTGGCTTGCTGTGGAGTACTGAGGAGCCCAGTGCCACTAGGGAGGCAATGCTGATCCAGGTGTTGGGAGACACCTATAGAACTAGGAGTCACCCTGTGTGACTCTACGGGCAGTGAGAACTCATTGTTCCATCCTGGCAATGAAGGGTATTTGAGAATTGCTATTCGAGAAGGGTATTGAGAATTGGTTCCCCTATTCCATTCACCCTTCTCCTTTGTCTCCACAGCATCTCCAGGGCTGGGAACAGCCATGATCACGCACCCAGGCACCGCCCCGTCTCTCGTCATGCTGCTGCCCTTTCCCCAACCAACTCACGGCCCTGCACCCCAGCCACCCTGGGGGCAGCCCCATCCACCCCTCCTGAATGTGGCATTCCCTCCAGGCAGCCGCCTCGTACTGCCTGCTGCCATCCCCAGCATGCCCGCGGTGGCTGGAGATGGTGGCTGCGGCCCAAATGGGGCTGGGAACGTCCACCTATTACTCCAGTTGAGGACAGGAGGGCAGCCAGTGGAGCCCCTCCACTCTCAGACCTTGGTCTACAACCAAACCCGTTTCAGCCTGAATGCCCCAGGGGGCCTCTGTGGGGCAGGGCAGAACCCTGCTCCCATAGCAGTGCCTGGGTCTTCCCTGCAGGCAACAGTGCCTGCACCTACCATGGCGGGAACCCACGCCAGTCAGGGGGGCTGGCTTCTGGGACACCCTCCTCCAGCTCCACCACCAGCTGCCCAGCTGGCCCCAATGATCTTCCCAGTTAACAACGGGCCACCACCACAAGGGGCAGACAGGGAGCACATCCTGCCTACTCCCAAGGCCCAAGCCTCACCAGACAACCCATGCAACTCTACCAGCGTCTACGAGAACTTCCGGCGCTGGCAGCACTTCAAGGCCCTGGCCCGGAGGCTCCTGCCCCAGAGCCCTGACACAGAAGCTCTGTCCTGCTTCCTCATGTGAGCACCCATGCCCAGGGCCTGGGGCAGTGCATTGGGAGGATCACGGGGTGGGCAACGCAGGCTATGAGGGCTCCCAAAGGAAGACCCTGAAGGCAATCGAGAGACCACATGCAGTTCCATTGTCAGCCATGCTACCTCATGCTGCGTGTGACACGATTCCAGGGCCTTTCCCCACTGGATCTTAGCTATCCTGTGATAACATTTACTTTCCACCATTTCCAGGGTGACCCTTACAGAACACTCAAGGTCAGAGGGGGTCCTGGGATCACAAGAGCCACCACTGGGGTTTGAGTCTGAGTCCACACAGCAATCCCTGTCCACCACTGGCATCGTATGCAGAGGGTCACAGACCTCAGGGACTTGATGTGAGGGGCAATAAGGAGGGAAGTCTTATACACAGCCCAACCTTCACTCTTCCCGGGACTTCCAGGAAGACAGAAGGTGGTCAGGAACTCACCCTGGGCCACGCTGGGGCCCCAACACGAGGGTCTGTCTCAGGCCAGCACTGACATCACAGCCCAGAGCCCTCATAGGGGAGGAGACGCTCGCACCCATTCCCAGGGAGCTGAAGGTCACTGCAGCTGAACCTGCTGAGCTTGGCACAGGCCAGGCACAAGCTCTGTCTCAGGAAACGACTGCAGTCATGCCATCATGAGGAAAAGACAATGAGGTGAAGAACAGAGCCACAGCCCGAACTCCATGGTCCAGGCTGTGACCGGACTCTGAGCCCCTAAGGCAAGAACGCAGGCCACTGTCTGGGGCTGCTGGGGACCAAACCAGAGGGAGCCTTCCCCGCAGTGGCAAACTCCCCTTTCTTGACCACTCGGGCCCGGCTCCTCCTGTCTATCACCATCACGACAGACACAGCCACCTTCCACTGAGCAGGGCACTGCGTCCATGTCGCGCCCACCTCTGACCTCCCGGCCGCATCGGCACTCAGCCTGCAGCTGAAAGCAGTCTCCACGCCTTGGTGTTGACGTCTCCATCTCCCTGCCGCTCTGGACACTCAGCATTGCCCAGGAGGCACATCACCCCCAACTCAGTCCCCATGCACTGAGCTTGGTCCCCTAATCAGGGCACAGCCTGCATGGCTCCCTTCCTTCTCCCCACTCCCAGGAGCTCTGAGGTCCCAACTCCAGTGAGGCCTCTGGCCAGCAACTATAAAGCAGGTTACACGCTCAGCCCTGGGGCCAGGAACACGCACCAGAGCCCTGGCACCCAGGTCAGATCATTCTGTGTGCTTCTCCCTTTGGGCTGCACTGCACAAGGCCACACACTGGACAGTTTCAGCCACAGATGTTCATGTGTCACGTCTGGAGGCTGGAAGACTGAGCACAGGACATGGCTGGATTCAGATTCCGGTGAGGCTGCTCTTCCTGAGACAGGACCTTCCCACTGTCTTCATTTGAGAGTCAAGCTATGGCGAGTCTTGCTTCTCCTCTAAGGACACCAGTACTATCACGGGAGCTGCAGCCTTAGCACCTCTCCTAACCCTAACTGCACCACAGACACCACCTCAGACCCCATCACACTGAGGATTAGGACTTGCACACATGTATTTACGGGATACAAGCATCCAATTCATGCTGCACAGTGACACTGAAGCTGCAAAAGGAAGACAGAGAGGCCAGCACAGCCCTGGGAGTGGGTAACCCCCAGATGAGAGGTGGCCAGGAGGCTGGAGAGCCCACACTGGAGGAGGACACGACAGGGACAGAGGGAAAGGGAGACCCCAGCACAGTAGTCAGAGCCCTGAGCTCAGGTGGCAGGGTGGGCTTGTGCATTTTCACTGACTCCAGGGAATTAATTCCAGCCCCGTGCTGCGGACCCTGGCCCAGCGGAGGCCCACCATGCCGCTGGAGGAGGGCCTGCGGTTTGCCTTGCGGGAATGGCAGCACAAGAGCAACTTCGACCGCATGATCTTCTACGAGATGGCAGAAAAGTGAGTTGGGAGTCCGAGTCCCGGTGCTGTGTGGTGGAGGAGGCTGGGGAGGGAGGCTGGGCCTGAGGGGCTGGACGTGTGAGCACACACACGCCATTCCTTGGAACAGGCACTCCGTGAGCCCTGCTCTCCCAGGATACTGCCCCACCACCTGGATGTAGGGTTCTAGGCACTCTCCTCCCTGGGAGTACTCCCCATCTGTGTCTGAGCTACCGAGGCTCTGACGTTCAAGGTCGAGGTGGAGCAGCCAGGGCAGCCCTTGTGGTTCCTCCCACCACGAGGACTCTGCACATGGCACGACCTCCTTCGGAGCTTCTGCCTCACACCCTGGAGGGGGGGCTGTGGACAGATGTGTTGTCACGGTGAAGCGCCATCCCAGAATGTGCTGCAACCCAGAGTGTGTCCTCAGGGATCTGGTGTCTCAGACACACGGCCCTGTCTGCATTTCTGCCGGTTCATGCAGTATGATAAGTTGAAACACACAGCACTCAGAGGCCATGCCCACCTCTCAGCCAGGCCTCCCATCCTCCTGCCTGCCCCTGGACCCTAATCCCTGCTCCCCCTACAAGGGTCACAGTCTCGGGCTCAGGATCTTTGATTCTGAACTAGGACCCAAAAGCGCTTGTGATCAATGTCCTTTTGCGCAGCCTCTGGAGTCAGCCCTACTTGGGGCTCTGTGTGGGGCCAGACCAGGCATGGAAGTGGTGAGATCTGCTGTGCCTTTGTTAACTGGGCCTGCAGGGGATCAGAGACACACGTCACCTGCCCGTGCAGGGCAGAACAGAGCACTGTTCCCAGCATGTTTTACCCCTGTGGGACTGACCAGACTTGGGCCTCGCTGAGCCCAAGGGACACGTGCATGTGTCCGCCACCAGCTGCCACCAGAATGCTGTCAGGACGTGGGCCCCTCACGTTTGGCCTGTGTCCCCCACGCTCAGGTTCATGGAGTTTGAGGAAGAGGAGGAGATTCAGATGCAGAAGCTGGAGTGGATGAAGGGGAAACCTTGCCAGCCCCCACTGGTCTCACCAGCACTGCTTCCTCAAGGGCCCCCAGCCCCTGTGGCTGTCCAGCAGCCAGGTACAGTCTCCCGTGTCCCAGCACAGTCCGTGGCAGAGGCCAACGCAACCCCAGGATTTGCTGTCCCCTCGTCTGGGCCTTTCCTTCAAGAGCAACATGTGTTCCTTTGTGCAGAATGTCCACGGGCAGCCCAGGGGCCCACATGCTTTGGGCCATTACCTGGGGATTTTTCATACCTCAGTCCTAGTGCCTCTCATCCCTTAGCTTCCCAAGGAGCCAGCAAACTACCAGGATGGGGTCTGGAGATAAGAACACAGAGTGCTGGTGACAGATGTTCCACCTCTCGGCCCCATCTCCTCTCTCGGATGCTTTTGTCAGCTTCTCCTGGCCCAGCGTGACCACTCATGTCCTCCAACAACTGTCCACCCCACTGCGGCTGACATGACGCTGGAGCCCCTGCACTCACACCATGTTCCCATCCACAGGGTGTGCCGCCAGGAAGGCCAGCTCCAAGGCCCTGCCTGCCTGTCCAGTGCCACCCAGACACCAGGGGCCTCAGGACAAGACACCCAAGGAGATCCCACCAGAGGCCGTGAAGGAGTACATGGAAATCATGGACACGTTGCTGGGGCCAACACCCTTGTCCTTGGAGCCTCCCGATGGCCACCCAGAAGAGGACAGAGATGAAGTTTTCCTGGAGAATGAGGGGTCATGCCCGGACCCGGAAATGCTGTCCTACATTGAACATCTATGCTCCCAGGTGGATTTTGTCACCAAGGTGGGTTGGGATGCAGCACTGGGATGCAAGATCCAAAAAATGACCCTGCCAGGCCCTTAAGCCAAATGCAAGTTCTTCACCACTGCCTTTGTGTTCCTCAGTGAGGGAGGGAGGGAGGGAGTGAAGCTGACTGCCCACTGATTTACACCCCAGAGTGTGAACAGTGATGGGGCCGTCATTGCTCTCTGGTTCTGTTCAAGTTCCCATCATCTCAGGTGCTTCATGCAAGGATGATCATGGACATCTTGCATCTCTTCTAGGCGGAGGCCATCATTCACCCCAGATTCCTGGAAGAATTGCTTTCCCCAGATCCACAGCTGGACCTCACGGCCCTGTCCAAGGAGCTGGAGAAGGAGGAAGGGCTGACTGCTGACCAGGTAAAGGACAGAAGGTGGTCAGCAGGTAGAGCAGGCATAGCATGTAGACAGGGCAGGGAGGGGCACCAGGAAACCAGGGGTGGGGGCTTCATATAGACAGGGCCTGGAGGGGCACCAGGTACCAGGGGTTTATGGACAGCAGGTAGACAGGGCAGGGAGGGGCACCTAGGTAGACTGGTGGTAGAAGGGGGGACCCCAGCATGGCAGACCCAGATCATTTTGTCTCCCCCTACTCTGCTGGGGAAAAATGACTTCTTGAGGAGCTGCTTTGGGTGGGGTGCAGGTGCACACATGTGTTAAGGAGACAGAAGAGCCAGTTCCAGGTTAGGGTACAGGGCTAGAATGAGGCCCAAGTGGGTGGAGGCAGAACCCCTCACACTAATGGGACCAGCCCAGAGACTCAGGCCTTTCTGCCTCCTCCCGAGTACCTGCTGTGCACTCCCTGGCCGCCCTCACACCTGGCACAGCCACTAAGGGCCTGTTTCCTCTGCAGGTGATGGCGAAGCACTGCTCCTTGAAAGAGGATGGGGCCGTGGGGGCAACCCCCAGTCATGGTGTGCCCCAACTGAACCCCAGCAATTCTGAATCTGGACCCCAAAAAAGTGCGCAGAGTGACAACCAGGGCCCCCGCCTTGGGGACAGAGCTGAGTGCTACTCCTGGTCGATGCCTTCCCAAGACCTGCAGAGACATGCTGTCCCAGACACCCCCCTGTGCAGGCCTGAGGTTAATGCTGTCTTTAGTGGACATCGGGAGTGTCCCTCACTGGGGGCCACCAAAGATGCCAGGAGTTTCAGAGGAGGACCCTCTGTTGAGGGCCCGCACACACCATTGGACAACTCCAGTGAGAACGAGGAGGAACTTCCCAGTCTCTCCTTCCTCCT